CACACTGACTTTATTACCGCTGAGTCAGATTATTTTCGTTATCTTGTTTTACACAACATAAAAACCAGTTACCTGATTTATTCATATATATACTCGATTCTCATTATATCGCGGGTTTCATTGTATCGTGGTATATTGCATACATAATTGGATACATAGCCTACATTCTTTTTGTTGATGGATAATCCGTATGTTGTTCGAATGTTTACTTTTTTGAAGATTAATCAGTATGGAGCATCTGTTTGAAAAAAAAATATTCATATAAAACGTAATTTTACAGATTTCCAGTCCCGTTTTTATTATATTTAGACCAGTAAATTTATAACCTATTAAAATTATAATAAAGTTCCATCTTTTAATATCAATTCTCTGTAATTATCAAACAATGTCAATAATGCTTGGCCACGCTACATTTTCAATTTCTATGAAACTTTTTGTGTGTACTCACATTGTCACATCATTAATGGTTTTATATTTTTTTATTTCAAAAAATGTCTCGTTGCCATGGTAACGGCACCTATTGTTTCCCCTGTAAATTCTTCCTAAAATTTGACCAAAAAACGTGATTTTGTAGGTTTTACTGAATAAAAATGTGCTTAAAAGAAACAAGAGAATGGGGAAATCTACTTTTGTTTCAAAACTACCATTATTCCTCTCTAGTATAACAGCATAATTTTTTAAAAACTGTAATTCTACATAATGGCTTAACAACGCTTAGCTTTGGGGATTTTGGCATTTTGCCAAATTGAGAAAATTACCATTTTAGACCCTTTTTCAAAGCGATTTTTTAATACTTTGCACACTGATTTGAAATTCAGGAAACCGTGCATTGTATAGATGGTACATAAGTTAGTTTAAACACATTAAAATATTTATGGGACACTTTAACATTTTTTTTAAAAAAACTGATGAAAAACTACCCAAAATCTGCAAAATTTCTGTACTTCAAGGAACATATGCACATTTCATCAAGTTCATATAGAAAAGAAATGTTCCTTTCTACCTATTTTGATGTCATTTACAATAAAATTAGTCCATATCTAGGAGAAGAGTCATGTAAAAATATTCACAATCCATTTCAAAGAGCATTAATACATGTAAATATGTTCTTAGATAGGAGAACTGTGAACACCTGCACAAAATGCCCCCCCCCCCCTTTCCGTAAAATTGACAATTTTGAAGTACATGTAGACTAACCAGGGCATGTTTCAAGTTTCCTGAAACTATCCCCTTAGATTGAAACTAATATGAAATAAAATTTTCCCTATCCATTCTCTATTACTATGGAAACAGGAATGCAAGATTTGTTACCATGGAGACAGGAATACCATATTTTTAACCAAAATGGCTGCGTTTAACGTAACAATGTTCCCAAAACTACACTTATTTACTCTTTTATAAAACCTGTGTAATGAGTTAAATGTGAATGTGAACTAATTTTTTTGGCATCTTAAATTTGCATCTTTATGATGTTGCTAAAATATAATGCATTTTGTAATGCTATGTCAAATGATTGCAAAACCTTGTGGCTTTTACTTTTTTAAGATTTGGTCAAACTTGAAAAATTCTGAAATGAAACTAAAACAAGCAGGACATTCATAATATTTTACTCATTTCAACTTGTTACTTTGTATAATTTTTTTATTTAATTCATGGGCAACTGCAAACCACAGATACTTTGAATGAAGTCAAAAATTTACCCCCCCCCCTTCTGATTTTTTCTTTTAAAACTTATGAAACACGACTTTAAACTTGAGAAAAATTACATTGGTTTAAAAAAAAATCCACATCCTCTTGGGTAAGTTATCTTGGATTTAAACATAACTAGAACTGTCCAAACGGGACAAAATACCCCCCGCTGGGTTTTTCAGAAGTAAGTTTTTCTATAATAAAGATATGTATCACACATGAATTATGAAATTTTTCTTCTCGTGATCTTAAACTTCTCCAAATGACCTTGGGTCAAGGTCCTGACACACCATAACGTCATAGGCAATCTCTGTGTGAAATGAGAACCTACCAAGTTTTATCCATAAGAAAGATAAAGACCGGACACGAATTATAAAATTTTTCTTCCAGTGACCTTGAAGTTCCCCAAATGACCTTGGGTCAAGGTCATGACACACCCTTGGGTCATGGGCAATCTCTGTGTGAAATGAGAACCTACCAAGTTTATCCATAAACAAGAGGCCCAGGGGCCACATCGCTCACCTGAGCAATTGGCTAGGAAAAAGCACATATCAGATCAGAACTGAAAGTTTACTGGAGGTTGGGGGGGGGGGGGGGGGGCTTGAACTTCAACTCTCCAGGGGGTCTTGATTTGAACAAACTTGAATCTACACTACATGAGGATGATTCCACATGAGTTTCATCTTTCCTGGCCCAGTGGTTCTTGAGAAGAAAGTTTTTAAAGATTTTTCCTATATATTCCTATGTAAAACTTTGATCGGCCATTTTGGCCCCACCCTACCCCCGGGGGTCATGATTTGAACAAACTTGAATCTACACTACATGAGGATGATTCTACATGAGTTTCATCTTTCCTGGCCCAGTGGTTCTTGAGAAGAAGATTTTTAAAGATTTTTCCTATATATTCCTATGTAAAACTTTGATCGGCCATTTTGGCCCCACCCTACCTCCGGGGGTCATGATTTGAACAAACTTGAATCTACACTACCTGAGGATGATTCCACATGAGTTTCATCCTTCCTGACCCAGTGGTTCTTGAGAAGAAGATTTTTAAAGAATTTTCCTATATATTCCTATGTAAAACTTTGATCAGCCATTTTGGCCCCACCCTAACCCCAGGGGTCATGATTTGAACAAACTTGAATCTACACTACATGAGGATGATTCCACATGAGTTTCATCTTTCCTGGCCCAGTGGTTCTTGAGAAGAAGATTTTTAAAGATTTTTCCTATATATTCCTATGTAAAACTTTGATCAGCCATTTTGGCCCCACCCTAACCCCAGGGGTCATGATTTGAACAAACTTGAATCTAAACTACCTGAAGATGATTCCACATGAGTTTCATCTTTCCTGGCCCAGTGGTTCTTGAGAAGAAGATTTTTTTAATAATGCCATTATTTTTTCTCTAATTCATGATTATCTCCCCTTGGAAAAGGGCGTGGCCGTTCATTTGAACAAACTTGAATCCCCTTCACCCCAGGATACTTTGTAGCAAGTTTGGTTGAAATTGGCCCAGTGGTTCTTGAGAAGAAGATGAAAATATGAAAAGTTTACAACGACAACGCCGACAACGACAACGACAACGACGACAACGACAGACAACGGACAAATTTTGATCAGAAAAGCTCACTTGAGCCTTTGGCTCAGGTGAGCTAAAAAGATATGGACCGGACACGAATTATGAAATTTTTCTTCCAGTTACCTTGAAGTTCCCCAAATGACCTTGGGTAAAGGTCATGACACACCCTTAGGTCATGGGTAATCTTTGTGTGGAGTAGTAGATTCTAATGTCCCTCCGTAAGAAAGACATGGACCAGACATATTTGCACAGACAGACAGACAGACGGACAGTTAGACAGACGGACAAGGTGATTCCTATATACCCCCCCCCCCAAACTTCGTTTGCGGGGGGTATAAATATCCAACAATGGAAAACTTTAAACATAGTGTTTGGCATATAATTAACAATTAGGTTTGCAATGGATCTTTTGTATTCTGTAAAGTCAGTTGAAACAATGCCCCCCCAAGAGACACTGTCCCCTACACGTATCATTTTAAGGAAGTTCTTCCTTTCATTTTACTAGGTTCCTGCCAACATCTCATCACACCAACTATATCAATCTCCTTTTCTTTTTTTTCATATCTAAATATAAATTCTGAAAACAAGAGAACTTTTCGCTTTTTTTATTTTTTATATATGCAACATTTAGAGTACATGTATTCTAAACTACAGTACATATCATTAGATTTACGTGACAAATTCTACTGTTTCTGCTGCTCTGAAAATCTAGTCTCTGATTTTTCAATTTTAGAGTTTTTGTTGGTCAGGCATGTACCAGTAATGACCTACATTGACATACGCAAGTAACACTGATAATTAGTTAATGAGAATTATGCTGAGTTGAGGTTTTTTGGCAAGGTACAGGATAAAGCTTGATAAGTTCTAAAACATATTGTTATACAGCATAAGATTTGAGGATGCCATCACATAATATGATAAACATGTTCCTATTATATTTGAACTTTGACATCTCAAACACTGATATCTTGAAGACAGTGGGTACAAGTATGTTGGAATAGGTTGGAATTCAGCTTTCACTTGCCTGGTTTCAAACCTAAAATATGGCATCCCTTCTCAACCTGCAATGGTAAATAATTCCTGAAATTTCCAATATACACTGATTTCAAGCTAATTAAATGTGTATGTAATCCTTTAGAAAGTTGTTTTCTTTATTCTAGTATAATGATTCTTCTGTTACTGGACAGGTATTAAATTTTGTTTAAAAAAAAAGAAATAAGCAAGATTAAAATTAAGATATAAAACTGAAATATTTTTTAACAATTTAAGGACAGATGATACAAACAAACTTTTGTCAAAGAATTTGAAAATAACAACTGGAGTCATGTTTAAATCAGTAAAACTAATAACTTTCTTCAAGTACTTTTTAATTTTTAATTCATATTTGCATAAAAATGGAATTTGAAGTGAAAAATATTTGTATAGATTAATAAGGATAGTTTCAAGAGGGCAGACTTTTGAACATCACACAGAAGGTTTACAATTTCTTAATATTTTAGAAATTTATTAATAGCATCATTAATTTGCAATTAAATTATGCCAAAACATATATACCAATCCAGGCATCCATTTTTTGTTTGTATCATCTGTCCTTAATTTACTTTCATATTTTAAGAATGGTTACCTTGAAAAGAACAAAATCTAGGCTGTCCACTTTCTTGCAGAATGCACTTGAACTTCAGTCATGGCCTATTTGGTCCTGTTTTGGTTTACTGGTCTTACTTTTTCTTTTAATATATTCATCTTATATGGTAAATCCTTTGATGAAAAAATGATGAAAATAATTATTTTCCTAGGAACATGATCAAAAGGAAAATTCATTTCATTCATAAACAGACATGTTCATGTGTGTGATCATCTTACCAGTAGTGAATATTTGCCTGAGTATCAAATAATTTGTTTAGAATATTATAAAACATGGTCAGTGTGTATAAAACAAATATCATTATAAATCAGAGGTGAACATTCTACATGTACATGTATATACTGTAGACGTACTTTTTTTCACGGGGTCATAATCCCGTGGAATCTCAATTTCTGTTTAATCCACCGGTAGAAAATTACGCGGATTTCTTAGACTGTCACTATATGCCTTACATTTAAATTAAGTACGCTTGGACAAATTTCCGCGGAAAATTTGTGACCGCGTACATAGCATAGCATAAAATAATACCACGCGGAAAAAAGTACTTCTACAGCAGTTTTATTATACCCTCCGCTTGAAAAGTGGTAGGGTATACTGTAATCGGTATGTCCGTCTAGCTGTACGTCCATATGTCTGTACATCCGTCTGTCTGTTACGCTTTAGGGTACCCATCTCTTAATAATCTGCAACTCCTCTTATACCACTGCAATGAGTGAAATTTAATGAACCTTTCACAGAATCTTTATTACATATTGGCATTGTGCACCTCCTATTTTACTTTTTGATTCGACACATATTTTGGGTTTCCCAGCCACAGTAAAACATGGATTTGTCATCAGTTATAACCATATGGGAGGGAGGGGGTATCATTTAGTGAGCAATGAGCTTATTGCTCACAGTACCTCTAGTTAAATTTTGTTTTAACACTAATACATATATACAAGTGTACATATATATTTTTTAATGTTTGCTATTTGAAGAGATCATTATTATTCACACAAAATTGAACTATAGATTATACAGTACTTGTACTTCACAGGCGAATAAGAGTCTATATAAACAAAAATAACTCAATATTTTCAGTGCATTCGTAATCTAGATCTATTTTGTCAATTTATATAGTACAGTTTTGGATATATATATAATAAATTTAAAGTTTAAAAGATAGAAGCTATTAAATAAAACAATGACATCAAAACAAACATGCTGTTTTCCTATTTTCTGCTTATGAACATCACATGACCATATTTTGCTGATATATAGAATACTATTTAAAAAAACTTAGCTACTTTATGCTTGTGCTCACACATTATAAACGTTTGATGCACTTTTTTTATAGAAACAAACTTGCACTGGTTAAATATTTCTGTAAAATATGTGCCTAATGCCAATAAAGAATTGAAATAATAGGATAAACAATGAATGAAAACTGACAGAAGTAGAAATTTATATTATAAAGATAAATAATGTTCACTTAAAAGTCTCTCTCAGCACATCATAAAAAGTAAACCTACTGAATGACACAGATTTTATACAATCTCTATATATAGAGATTTATATTTCGGGGAAGGGGAGGGGGTTTCAGCTGTATCACCAAGTGATGTTTATATGCTTCAAATTCATTTTTATTAATAAAAATAATTAATCCATTGGTCAGAAAGTCAAACTGTTTAAAGGAATAGTTCGCTTGATTTGATAAGGACCACTGACCACTACCGGTAAAACAACTGTGTATTGTAAGGCAAATATGCATTTGTTAATCTTGATATTTTTGTAATGCTCAGTATATACATGAATTTACCTTCTGTCTTCATTGTTTAAGATGTCTAGCCTTCTTTTCTTCTTCCATACTGTAAACTGTAAAACTTTTATGAGATCTTTCGCCAGAAATGTTCATTGCTGTTTACTAAATTTATACACATTGTACCTCCAAACGTTAGAGAGTAGTTCAAGGGAAGTAATTAGGAAGCAAAAAATGCTTCAAAATGTAGAAAAAAGTAATCTTTACCTTTGAATTACTTTTACATCTTTGAGTGTCCCACCAATATTTTACATATTTTGATATAATCAAATATCAGCCTTTCATAATTAAGTATTACTAAATTTGTAATCAGTGTGCCTTTTTTGTTTTAAGCCTCCAAAAACTCCACTAAACCAATCACATATCTTATATGTTATAATATGTAAATTGGCCATTTACTATTGAGAGATTAAATTAAAACTACAGATATAATTACTTTAATCTGTAGTATTAAATTTA